CCAGTAACACTTTTGAAGAAGCATCAGTAGGACTATATCTTACATGGTACTATGCATGCCAAACCAGACCTGCAAGATGTGACTTATTCCAAGGCACGTGCTTAAGAAGAACTGCACAGCGCAGAGCAGCACGTCACGTTGGTTCTCAGATCAGTAATCCTTCAAGTCGTTTGCAAAATACTTTGAGATTCAGCACTTAAAAACAACCTGCATCACATTAACTATTGTAGTCCTGATAGCTGGACTAACCCAATCTCTTACTTCATGAATAATTTTCCTCTTAGTTAATTTAGAGCTTTAACTCATCGGAACAAAAGGGACTTTTCCTATAGATGAAATAGGACACAGCCTGTTCTGTAAATTGCTACCAGCTGCATGTTACTAACCTGAGGAAACTCTCACAAGTACTCTGCCTTGGTTTACTTCGCATGAAAAACAAAAAAAAAGTTCAGTATAAAATGTCAAGAGCTGATTTGACATAGGGGCAAATTCTGTCACCTTCATTCCACTTGAGAAGAAACCCAAGCTGCAACTAAACTAATTAAAATCACAGAATGAGCTACTAATACTATGAAATGGAACTGGAGTGACAGTTTATCGTGTCATATGGTGCATCATACACGGTCAGTCCTGTCCTACACAAAGCACATGCCCAGCTGTAAAACACCAAGGAAATTCAAAGCGTTGATGCATAGATCCCAAACACCAAATTACTAACGCACACGGATTAGAGTTATGGAGTGCCTGGGTCTCCTGCTCACCTAAGTAGGAGCTGCTACTTGCTCAGCATCTAATGAACTTTCCTCTGGGTGATTTTGGTAGAAAACTTAATCTTTTGACTTCCAAACACATATAAAACTAAGAATAGAAAAAAAGACTTATCCCTATTTTCAGCTGTCATACCAAATTCAGGAAAACACGCCACTTGCACTCTTGCTTTCCTTAACTCCTCTGATACTGCATAATATCCCCTTCCCAGACCAAACATTTGGAAATAATTCATGAAGCAGACCCTTAATAAGTGAAACTCTGGCTTGCCTAAGTACAATAAATCCAATGAACAACGGGTTGCTCTGGGACTATACGCAGAACATGCTGAGAATTAACATGCAAGACGTAAAGGCAAATAACAACCTAATTGAATACATATGGGATCAGGACCCTAAGTATGGCTGAAACATGAGCTATTAAATTTGTATTCATTCTGGCTTGACCATCAAAATTCAATTCATTCAGCCCACACCAGGATTTCACTGCTCAAGATATTTTTATCGCTATGCAATTTGAGCAATATTTTTGATCAATTCCTACAATCAACATTTGAACGTGGTGGGTCATTATTTTTCTGCTAGCAAAATGACTTCTTTAAACCTCATTAATCAATCTGCCTGGTTTAAGTTACTGTACAACTTAGGCAGTCAGCTGTGCAAACAGCGGGTGCTGGAAAGCAGCTTCCAGAGAAACTTGGTTGGCATCACCACTTAGGTGAAACTCCTTGCCAGCAGCAAATTCAGGTTAATTGCGGCAGGGTGAATTGTTAGGTGCCCTCTGCTAGCAGATGCTTCATTTCACTAGCCTGGAGGACTTCAAACCCCCAGTCCTTCCTAAGACTTCTCTGCTGATAACACCTCCCCATGCAGAGCAGTGGCAGTTAAATTGTTTACTCCTGTTTGAGACGGTGGAAAATTACTGACGTGCCTTCTCAGGGTTACCTCACTTGCTAGGAAAGTTTTGATAATTAGAGACAAGACTGTTTGCCCTTCTCCATTATCCTGGCAACTGCAGATGAGTTATGTTAAAACGACTGGATCTCGTTTCCCCCAGTGAAGCAGCATCCCATCACACCAGCTCCGCACGTGGTGCGCTCGGCTGCGGCAGCAGCAGTCAGTACCTGCGAAAGGTGGGAGACTGCCCTCGAGAAACGGAGGTGACTAATGAGGGGAACGTAATGGGGCACCTGGGTATCTTCGTTAATGAGTCCTATAAACTGGATCTACAATTGGATTCATCCTCTTCCTGTACTGATTTCTGTAATGCTGATTACTGCAGCAGCTGGCATTTAATTACACACAGATAAAACCCAAACCAAACCAGGAGAGAACAAAATGGCATAGTGCTGCAAGTTTCCCTGTCAATCACTGGGTTTCCCCTGCTTTCGAGCACAAGACATGCCAAAGCTGGGGCCGTTGAGCCAGGAAAAATGCTGCTAAACAAAAGGGTTGTTGTCTCCACAGTGGAGCCTGCAGAAAGCACCTGCACGGGATGCCAAGTCTCCTGAGGACACCGTTTCGGCAGGCAGGGAGGCTGGGTGTGCCAACTCACCGTGGCTGTGAGGGAAGGGAACGTGATAAGGGAAGATGGAGACGGGGAAAAGCAGCGACATCATGGCGTGATTCATGCTGGGACCTGAGCGGGGACGAAGCTCTGCACTTCGGACAGAATGTCTCACACGAATGTAAGAGATGGAAGATGCATGTACTTAACGCGTTTTGGTGTCCCCATCTGATGCACTTTTCTAGGATATACCACTTTTAAGAACACACCAAAACTTCCACCTGTGGGTGAGCGTGGTGGAAAAAAAAAAAAAGGACACACCTTCTCTCTCTCTCTCTTTAAGCAAGGCAAATAACACTATCATATTAAATAACATTACACTATTACAACAGTAACGGCAAAGTACCAGTTCCAAAGCAAACTTAGGAAATGGATGGCTCTGCAAGGAGCAGAGACTGGCAGACAGCACGTCCTGCCACGTTCCTGCTCCCATAGACGAAATTAATGAGGACAAGTTTCCAAAGGATACTTATTGCATTTCCACTCGAGGTTAGTGCTGGGGGATGGAGAAGATGGACAGACTGGCAGTACGACCCCATAAGTTGACTTTCCCTAGGAAACCCAGTGTGACAGCAGATGCTTGGAGCATCAAAGCAGGCTACAGAGGTTTTCACGTTAGGCAGAGGTTTTTAAACCTGGTCTCCCCCTTAGGCAGATTCATTTTCCTTGTGCTTGAACTTCTCAAGGCAGAACAGATTGTTAAAAATTATGTTCTTCACCGTCTGATCTGCAGTCGCTATTTCAGGTGCCACAGCTGCCACTATAAATGTCTTAAATGTCTTTGCAACTACATCTAGGAGAGATTTTCTTCCACAACCAAATTTTTTGGATACGACATCTCATAATTACTCAGTTTGCTATTCTGTTAAATAAGCTGTCAGAGCATGAAAAAGCTCTTCAGTGTGCTCTATGACTAGAAGAAGCAGTTTATCTCGCTTTAAGTTACATTTACACATTCTGCCAATCCCTGTAGTACACAATGAACATAGCTCTGCGTCATGGGATCGCCTGTCAGCAGCCATGGCAGAATTGAAGGCACTTTTGGTAATTAAAGGTAATTCACTTCAACTAGATATGGTTAAAAGTCACTCCAGCCAAATGGAGAATAACATAGATACTAGATTTAACATATCTACAAGGTAAAACAAAAGGCTCTTACAGTCATTCCAAGCACGCGCTATTCATTAGTAAATGCAATAAAGTTTTCTTTCAGCGATGGCTTCTAGTTCAGTAAATTACATATTTATTGTTTGTTTTCACTGTAATACCCAGAAAATAATTTATGTATTTAAATGCTGCTACTTACTCTTAAAGTTTTTGGTTTTTAAATAGCTGTAAGCAAATACAGGATATCATCACTGAGATTAATAATAAAAATTAAATGATCCAGTGAGCTGAAATACAAGGAGTATTTTACTATGGAAACTGCAGATTTAGGAGCTTTCGCCATAATGACTTCACATCTGAATACGGGAATGGTTTCATTCTTACATTAAATCTCTCTTTTCAAAAACTTTAGTATGTACTAGAATACAGAAAGCTGCAGCAGGTAATTCGAAAGAGCATGGATGTGCATTTTCCTGAATTGATACTCTCCACCTGGGAGGACCTGGGTTATGCCCTCAGGGAGCCGTTCCCATGCAGTCCCATCCTCCCACCCACACACTGCCCAGCCCACCCCAGTGCGGGACGCATGTACAGAGGCTTGTATACCAAGATGTCACGAGTCTCCTTTGGCTACTGCTTGTCTTCATTCCTCCTCCCTTCCCCCTTGCTGCCAGCTGGGAAGGAGCTGAAGCCTTGATTCACAACCAGTATTGCCCTCAGGGAGCCACAGCTCCACTTGAAGAGAAGGCAAATAGCTAATATATTCAACAGGAGACAAATTCTACAATAAATTAGTCTGTTTTAAACAGGCAAGACAGACGCTGGATGGTTTTCACGCAGAGCCACCAGTTCTTCCTCTACATTGTTCTGCCTCTGAGGATGATTCCTGCCTCAACACTAGTGCTGACCACTCAGTCCCACCATCTGCTACCACTTTCCCAATCCCGCACAAGCTAGCGAGGAGTCTGCATTAGGCTCTTTCCCACCCACGGCTGGCAAACCAGGCACCACAGCAGGGTGACAGGGTGATTAACCTGGAGCTCCCCTATTACTCAGACTTCTCATCTGGGGCTGGATAGATGGTGCATCCCCATCTCCTTGCATAGTTCGATCAGACTGTTTATTTTCTGTAAAGTCAGTTCACTACAAGTGACAATTTTGTTTCCTTGAAGAGACTGTTTGCAGGTGTTATTCTGGGCTAGAATACAGACAAACGAAAAGCCCTATGTGAAGGTTAACATGGAAATCCTCCTGAGAGACTAACATAAAACAATGTGCTATTTAAAAGATGTCAAGCACACAGATGCCACTCTCTTCTGCTCAGCGACACTCTAACTGTGACCAGTGAGCCACGCTGGGCAGAAAGAGCATTCCCAATGGCATGAAAGATGAAGGATTTGCTTCTAGAGTAGCATCTCTGGAGACACAACATCTCCATCTTATGACAACCACTAGCCTCCTGTAGTCCCAGCTGATGTTAGGCAAGACTATTAATATTTGAAGCTAAGCAGAAGGCAAATACATCCAAACCACCACCATTTAAATAGAAATCACAGTACCTAAAATAGCCACCACCTCGTCGTCCTGGATGACTTCTAAGGATCCCGAGACCACAAAGCAAAGAGCATCAACGCTTTCCCCAGCATGATAGATGAGGTCCCCCGGGGCGCAATGGATCGTCTGAAACTCCACAGCCAGGGCTCGCAGGCAGCCGTCGCTAGCCAGCCGGAAGGCAGGGTGCTCGTTAAAAACTTTCCGGTTTAGGTGCACACAAATATCTGCTCTCATGTCCTTTGGGCAAATTGAGAGAACCTGAATAAAAGAAAGGTGAAAATAATCAGCTGGGAACATGACACCCGGCCAGCGCATGCTTTGAGATAACTGAATGGATGGATCTTAAGAGCTGCCTGGGTGGATCTTAAGATCCATCCATTCAGTTATTTCATAAAGCTTCCGGTGAGAATTTTATCTTGAATTGGGGTAGTCTTTTTCTACCCATCTACTGCTTTCACTGCACGTGAAAGGGCGATGTGGAAGAAGGGACTATTCTGTTACACTGTTCTCATTCCTAATAGTTTTCACACTTGTATTCCAGAAGTGCAGGTGGCACTACTATGTCCTGTTTGTGGATATCCCTCCAGCCTTGGTGCCCAGACTATCTGCCTGCTGCTATGCTCAATCCCTGCTGGAGCACAGAACGGATGCTCAGAGCTGAAGGAGCTTGAAGACATGCAGAGACGGACCATTCACAATAGAAAACACCACATTTTGCTCACATCCAGAAAACCTAGTCTTCAAAATTCTTGATGTAGATGACCACTTACCAATGCATATCCAAACACACCTACACTTTCGTTTCAGTGCTGTACAGACATGCAATAAGTAACCTGCCCTGGAGGGCTTACAGACTAGAAAATCCAAGGAGTTTGAGATTAGAGCAAAAAGAAAGTATTATGAAACCTTATGAAATGTAAAGTAAAGGTGAGTGAAAAACTGTCCTGTGAACATGAAGATGTCTTTATAGCGGATCATTTAAATAAGACCTTCAATTAATTTCTTACCTTAAATAGCTTTCCCTATTGAAATAGTAACAAAATACACCCGAAGAAAGAGAAAACCTGTGGGTCCTGTCAGGTTTGTAAACTGTGTGTTTAATACTTGCACATCCTCCTAAACACACTATATGCCCTTATAACCCTAAAATGCATTGTGCTAATTGCGCTGAGAAACATATAAAACCTTTTAAAGTTTTCCTAGGATAAATAATAGAAAAGGGCATGAGATTAAAAGCATGCTGGAAGTCATATAAAGAAGACTGCAGATCAATAGTACTGATTAATTTCTCATTGTATGGAATTAATCTGGCAGCTTGCTCTGCAGACAGTGTGAGAAACATGGACATTGGGTCAATGTGTTGACTGCCATTGAATATTAGCAAACAGAGGGAGACTCTGGTAACCCTGACTAAGCTTTGAGGCAAATGGTCATGTTAATATTGAAGTAAAGCCACGATTTTCATTTCTGTTTAATGCAGAAGCGGTATAAAACATATTACTGTAAAGTATTACTAAAGGTCCTAAAGCATGGAATGGGCAAATAGTAAACAATTTCTAGTTTAATAGTAACATTTAGTCCCTTTCTTATTTCAATATATCAAAGTTCCTTTGTGGTCAAAGATATAATGAATGTAAAAAGGTGAAGTAGAAATTTTTCTCCTATCCTCTGTACTATGACAGTCTGAGATTAGCAGGGGCTACTGCAACCACCCGCACTAACTTCTCGCACTCACAATTTTCATATCAATCCCAGAATACCTGGTAAAACTATAGCCTAGAAGGCCATGATTTAATGTTCTCAAATGACATAGGGTAGTTGTTCCAACGGACAGCTACTCTCCCTTTTAAAACGTGTTGTTTCTGAAATTTTTTTTTTTTAATTTTCAGGCAACAGCCAGTGGATCTCATCTTGTTGTTCAGATGAAACACCTGCAATCACCTGAAATCTCTTCCACATGTAGGTGTTTATAGACTATGACCAGGTCATCTCTTGATGTCATCTTGAATAAACAAGAGAGATGATGCTTCCTGTGCCTAACACTATGAAGCACAGCATCTTTTTGGAAACTTCCCCATCGCATGAGGTTTTCTCACCTACAACCACCTTTCCAGATCTACCAGATAATTCGTTTTTATTTGATTTAACACTGAATAAGTCAATTTGTTTTAATGCTATTTTTCTGTAACAAAATGTTGTACAGAACACATTAAAATACCCTGCATAAGTCCGCTTTATCATAAAAATTAATAATAAACACATTTGACAAGACATGTTCTCTATAAACCATCATTTGCATTAGTAATAATGTCTTGTCTGAGTCACTGTTGACCATATCCCGTATCACATTTCCATAATTTTATTAGGGGCAAATGTCAATTTTACAAACTTATACTTACCCGACTCATTCCATTTACCATTAGAAATATGGGCACACCTCAGTTTTTCCAGTAAAAAAACAAAAATTACTTTTGAGAGTGATTGTTTCACCTCAGCCCTACTTCTGGATCAAACAGAAAGCTTGTCTTTATTACAATAAAATAGAAACATGCCATCTTTCTTCTTCTCAATAGTAATCTAATGAAAATTTCTGCTTGCTTTTGTATCATGATTGATGATTTTTAACATTTTTATCTGCTCTTGGGCCTAATCATGGTTAGAAGTTTTTTACATCCCTTTAATACTTTCAGTAATGTAAGTGCTTTTGACTTAACAAGGCCATGAGCTATGCATTCTCAAACACTGCTCTTAAGAAAAATGTGTGTATTCATACATGACTGATTTCCAGATTTTATCTTTTAAGCTTCCAAACTGCAGGAAAAATTGGTTAAACTATTGCAGAGGTTGCTACTGTAAGATTTGGAGATGCTTTGGAACCCTTTGTTTTTAGAGTGTAAATTAATTGTGTCCCTCAAGAATAAAAGCCACCTGGATGCAAAGCAGCATATTGTTTCCTCACAAATAAATACAGAGTATTAAAAGTGAGCACTCAAAGCATTATTCTTTTTATAGACACAACAAACATATCTACCATTACACTAGTAAAAAAGTCTAATATGAAGAGACAGAAAAAATTCCATTGCCCAGAAAAAGCCAGTTGTAGAAAGCATAATTCAGGAATTTTCTGATGTCATGATAAAGTGATTCTCCTAATGACATATTACTGTACAGAGATATATGGAGACATCACTTATCAACTAGGAAAGTAGTGAGTGAGTAATGATCCAAGAGTTAGTCAGGAACAAATATTCTTTATTTCAGTTTTCTTGTCTGCTACACTGCAAGTACTGAGAACAGAGAATGAAACAGATTACAACTAAAAGAAATAATATTAAAAGATTTGGCAAAGGAGCTTTGACTGATAAAGATAAATGTAGATATACATAGGGGGAAAAAAGAGCAAAGATAGACAATCTCAATATTCAGCTACGTATTTACTGTATGCTCCAAGCACAGGACTTCATGAGCTCCAGCCTGACTTTGCGGCACTTCTTTTTGTGTTTACAAATACCATTCTCAGAGATGCCACCAGCTTCTCTATTAAGTTGTACTGTAGAAAGGGGTTGTTGGCAACACAGATTACAGCAGGTAGTAATTTTCCTGCTTCCAAAGAATACACATAATGTGATACAGGATCACACAGAAGCATTCAGAAGCTAATGATAAACAGTCCAAAGATCCTAAAAGCAGAAAATGAGAAAATGAACACTTCAAATTCAGATAAATATGCTTCTGAAATTGATCCCTTATTGAGAACACAAGACTTCGACATTCTTATCATGAAACGCTCTTACCGAGATCTCAGCATTTTTAAGGCAGCGTGCAACTAAAAAGATACAACGCAGTAGCAACATGGTTGTACGTGAGTCCATATGGTGTACAAATGCGCACACATGGGCGTAAAAGAGAAATTCGGTTTAAGAGAGACGCTATCCTGCAATGCTCAACATACTGTTTCACTGTTTGGCAAATGCCTCCAACGCTCCGTGCTCGTAGAACCAAAGTTCAGCTGGGACATTTGTTCTAGCCTGTATATTCTGTCAGCAGCATATCAAAAACCACCAAAGCAAATTTCTGAAGAGGAAATTTCCTTAGAGATTTCAAGACCTTTCTCAGTGAAACCTATAGCTTATAAGCAAGGCAGGATATTAAGGTTGCTGACTGCAATGCTTTACTAACTGATGGTTTTGGAGCACACGACTTGGAGCAGGCAGTCTACAGGGACCAGATGCTTGTGCTGCTACAGAAGTTGCTCTGTAATAAATCTGTAGCCACAGACTTCACACTCAGCTTTCCCATATGCATCCAAGCAGCATGAAAGAACAGAACCTGCTAGATCTCAATGCAAAATGAGAGGAGGAAGTTGAATTCTACCCAGAGGAAAATCTTTGCTGGATGTATAAGCTGTGTTTCTACCAGAAAAGGAGCAAGGCTCCATGCCGCACATGAACAGTACACATGTATCCACAAAGACTCGAACCACTACAAAGCTGAGCGAGAAGAAAGTAAAGTCCAGAATAACATTTATCACTTCTCCGCACAGAAAGTTAAATCTTCACAAAGAAGCATAAAACAATGGCTAAGCTCTGCCACCATCGCCTGGCACCCATCTGATACAAATCCCAACACAGTGACACCCAATGCAGGGATTCAACTCCAGAGGTGTCACCTCTAGAGCACCCTATGGCATACATAAAATGCTGGTGGTGAGTGAAAAGCTTGTGGTTGCTGCTTGAGATTGGGAAAGGCAGTAACCAGCTCTGGAAGACTCGCAGGGAATTGGCACGGAATGTCCCACTATCTTTTCAGCTTGAGATCTGTAAGGTGGGAATAAAATTCCCAAGAGGTTCCATCTGATTTTTTTCCTCTCCCATCTGTTTCCTCAGCATGCTCAGGCACTTTAAGATAAGCCCCTTGAACAGCTCAAAGAATTCTATGGGGAGCAGATATTACAAAGAACTCAAAGAAAAGCAAATTAATTGAAACAAAAACTGTACAGCTTAAGAGTGTGTCCAAACAATCTATTTTAGGATGGGTTTAAGTATTTTTAATAAAATCTCCCCCAGCTGGAAAACGCCACAGGATGGCTTAGCATATATTACAGAATCTGTTAAGACTTATTAACAAAAAGTTCGGAGGTCGGTGAGTCGTGAATGCTACCGATTTGCAATTCTTTTTCAGCACACAGGAGTCTCACTTTCTCGGGGCTGTAGCGAGGAGATATATTGACTGATATTCAAGCAACGAGCTTAGGCAGT